CCGCGGAAAAGGGGTAGCCAAAAAAATAAAAAATAAAAATCATCTTTTTTGGGTGGGATTATGGAGAAATGTGACCCCATCGATGAAGGCAGTACTGAAGTGATGTTTCTCATGCGTGGTAGCTAGGTATACGTCGATCAACGTCATGTTCACATAATCTTCGTTCCTGCAAGATTTTTTGAAACTCTCTTCTCTAAAATCATTTTTAATAATACGTTCTTCTAATAAAATAATTTTCAAATTTACTCATAATTTTTCCATGCTTCTGACCGTGAATTCTTTTTTTTAATTATTAAATACTTTTCACAAAATCTATTGTTAAAAAATCTATATTTTGTTAGTCATTAATATGACATGGTTATCATGTTCTTAGAATTACCTAATCTGCCTATTATTAACCAATGACCCAACATTCTTAAAGTTGAAAATTAAAAACCTTAATTTTATACCATTGTGAGTAATAAAATCACAGAAAGAAAATAGACACAAGAATACACAAAATTCATAGAAATTTGCCTCAATGTGAGAATATATGTTATTTCGTCCTATAGTAATTTACTATGACGAAAGAAGTTTACAAGAGAAAATTCGAACACTTTATTTTCTCTAACCTCTCTCTTTTTCATGATCATGAATAAGACAAATTAGGGACTCAACGCCGAAATTATGGGTATGAAATGTTGTCGGAAATTCGAGTATCTCAATCGAAAGAATAAAATAAAATGAACAGAAAATACAACGCTCCTTTCAAAGTTAATATTACACAATATCAACCTTATAAGTCGAACCACAGAATGATCGTATTCGAACGGAATAACCACAAATATATTTGAAAGAGTTTTTGCAGAATTTGGAGAGAAAATGAATTTAGGAATCGATAGTATTTTAATTGATTTGGTATGTTGAAAAATGAATCTGGACGTCTCTATTTATAGAGATTGAAGTGTTTCATTGAATGTGTGTGTGACATTTCATGAACTAGTGCACCACTTGATTTGGTTCGTCTTAACCATTGGATCGCACCATTTCATGATCGACGACCCAGATTAAATCATGAAGTGTAGTGTCCATTCATTATTCCTATTCACCAATTTCTGAATAGTCACCAGCCATGCAGATGTCACGCTAACATCCAACTGAACTAATTGTCGTGCAGGACGAAGTGATGCCACCTGTTACGTGTGTGCCACTTAGGATGTCAACCCATTGAGCCTCTCGTTGCCTGTCATCGAACCCTGAGTTCATTTCCATACGTGCGATGTGCAAATTGTGGGATAAAAATATTGGAGAATCAAAGTAATATATTAATCAAACCGAAGGCCCGTGTTTACACGGTTTCCTTAAATCGAATTCGCCGCCTCACCGAGGTGCAAGAGGTTTTGATCGATGTTCGATTCCCAAAATACAATCGGTTATCGGCCCACGTTGCACGATGTTACCGACCTACGAACTAGCTGCGTCTATCTCCCGCAGCATCAGCAAAGGAGGCATGAGAAACAAAAAACCGGAGGCAGTAAAAGAAATGCCGGAGGAGG